GATGGGCTTGTTGCCGTGAATTTAAAGGTTTTGGGATTTCTAGGCAGGCACGCTTCGATTTTCCGGCCAGCTCCCCTGTTCCCGTCGACTACCTTATAGTCTTGGAAAGCTGTGGTATTAGTTAGCTGTTCAATTCTAATTCCTTGTGATTCAAGCGGAAGAAACCTGCAAGAAAAAGAAAAGACACAGTAATAATAATATTACTAGTAATAGCTTTAATCATATGCATTCGGTTAATCGTTCGGTCGACACCATCACTTGTCCTTGAATCATAAGAGAAATTTCTTGAGAGCGTTAGACTTGCTTCGTTCACAGCGGATGAGTTGCTACGGGACAAACATATCTTACTATTAATAAGCTCCCACTACTAAATGGAGAGGTTGGTGTAACACTTTTTTGCGCTTGCAAATATTGCCCTTTATTAGCGAAATACTACCTTTTAACTTCCCATTACTTGCTATTCTTAGCTTACTTTTTTTTTTTTTTGGAAGGAATCTTAGCTTACTTTTAAATTTTCGAAGTAACAGTAATTATCAACTACTACGTGTTTCTCAATTTTGCACAGGGATGACAACCGAGCGGATTTGGAACAGGAAAAGCTTCCCCGCATTGGTCCAATTCCAGAAAAGTTTCCCTCGCTCCCGCTGCATCTCACTATCCATGCAGGTGTATCCACTCTGTCCCACTGTCATTTTTAATTTTTTTATTTGACTTAACTTTTTCAATTTATATATATATATATATATATATATATTAATAGCTTTATTGATTTTTTTTGAGATTTTTGAAAAAAAAAATTACATTATTTTATCATAACAACATAACATGTTACTTATTTCATACAATAGATTTATATAATATCAATAGCATAGCATTTATTTTATATTATGCATATAAAAACAAACATATATATTATACTATATAGGCAAGCGGCGGGGGATAAGGGACACTCCTGTCCCATTTAACACGGTAGAGAAAAATTCCCCTTGCCCCTGTCTCACTCCACCCCCTGCCCCATTTCTTCCCTCTGAGTGCGTATTCACGGGCATCCACTTCCGTTGCCATCCCTAGTTTTGCATGCCCACGAGGCGCACTTAAGGGTGGCAATAGGGCGGGAAAAGATATCCCCCGCCCCTGCATCGTTTTCCTTGCGGTCCCTAGTAGGAGAATAAATCAATATATTATATTTATCAATTTGCTCATTTTCGGGACAATTTTATCATTCATTCTATTTCAAAATATTCAATAAAGACATACTCAACTACTAAATATTAGACCATTCAACGAGTTGTAAATACTAATAACTAAAAAAGATTAACAACTTCTCAATACCATAAAAATAACATTAAAACATTTGATTGAGATATAATAGGACCAAGTCATAATTGTATGTTCAAAATTATATTATTAAATATAAATTATTATATTGTCTTTATATATGAATTATATGTACATCTATAAATTTAAATATATATGTATATATATAATTTTTTTGTATACAAGAAATGGGATGAGTGTATGTTGAGGCGGGGGTAAATTTTCTCCCCCTGCCCCGCCTCATCCTGTGCCCCATTTCCAACCCTGCGGGCACCTGCCCCATTGCCTCCCTTTGGCGCACCTCTCCTACTGCTCATTAAATAGACTTGGGGAGTAAGTCAGGTCGTGTAATTTAATCTACAAACCAGGGTTTGCTATAAGGGCCCAATTGATTTGTCAGGTCTCTATCGTCTCCTTGTGCATTGAAATGAGTGAGGCTGACGTCAGCAGCCCGCCAGCGTAGAGGCCTCTGATTGAAGTTAGTCTCACTCATCATTCGGATTTTTATCCGCTGCTATTTCTTCCTGATTTTATTCTCAATCATTTGTTCGGCAGAATGCTGCGATGACTTCATTATTTCCATGGATCCTGGTACTATTTCCTTGCTTTAGGGGCTTTCTTGTCCTTCAATTTTGAAAAAACCTCATGTAGTCAGGTGGAGTATAAGAAGAGGCTAAAAAAAGAAAAAGAAAAAAGATTGAAGTATAATTTTGGTGGGAGAATTTTCTTTCTTTCTTTCTTTCTTTCTTTTTCCCCTTTTAAAACAAAAGTCAAGGAAGACTCCAAACTTATTGTAGTCAATCCCCAAATTCAACGTTAACAACTTGAAATATTTGCCTTAAGGACCTTTTTTTTTGCCTTTCAATTTCGAAATATGTAGTGACATAGAATATAAGAGGCTAAAAAAGTGTTAAACTTCAATTCTAAGTGCGGTGGGACGATATATTTAGTTTGGGTCGAATTGCATCATTCCCTTCCTCTTCTTGACGAAGATTTGTTCTCAAATTAAATGCGATCTCTTGGCAAGTCTCAACTGCGGTGGGATGATATATTTAGTTTGGGTCCAAAGGAGCTTCGAAGCCGAAAGCGATAGACACAATCGGAGACATTTCATGTCCGGATCGGTGTCTATGACCAACTCAATGGGATATGCAGTTGAATGCTTCAGGCGATGATTGAACGGGCTAAAGTCAATTGTTAATCATGATGTCGAGCTGAGCCCACTATCATTGGGCTAGAGGGTCCTTGGATCGAGCCTAACAGCTGAATCAGAAATATTAATTCAAGAAAGCGGCGTGGTAAGGATTGCAGCGTGGCGGCTGGTCATCTATAGCAGGTCCAGTGAGTATGAGAGGGTGGTGAGAGTTTTTAGCAAATTCTTTTTTGTGTGTATGAATAGGAGATCATTTGAAGTATTTGTGATGTAATGTATGCGAGTCAAAAATATTATTGAAAAATAAAAAAGTTGATTGAAAATTATAATTATGATACAAGTAAAATAATATTTAGAAAAAATATAGTCTCCACATGGATATGTCTTCTTTTTTTCTTTTTTTTTCCTCCAAAAAGTATTTTTGTTTGTGGACCTTACAATAACAACCATAAAAACACACACAATTTCAAATACACCTAAAAATAAAATAAAAAAAAATTTTATACACAAAAAGTATTCTTGTTCCATGCACTATCGGTTCCCGCATATTTTCTCCTTTGCCTTGTTTCTCTCTCCTCTTCCTCCTTTCTCATTTTCCCTCTTCCTCCGTAAATGCAAGATTAGCGCATAGTATTCATATAAGTAATTATTTTTAATAGCTTAAAGTAACGCATAGTGAAATGCTTGACATTTTTATTTTTTGCTATAAGCTTACTAAAAAATTTATCGTTCATAAACTTTTAGAAGTGGATAATAATTTCTAAAAAAAGTAGAATCGTCTCAACTTTTCAATCTTGTACCAAATACTAATAATCTCGATATAATTTTTTTTTTAATAATAATGACTAATGCTCATAGTATACATGGTAGATTTATTTTAACAAAAACCCAACCACTTGAAATTGATGATTGTGGAAACTAATATCCAATTAAATCTTTGAACTACTATTAGTTTCATAAAGCTAATTAAGTCAGCCAAGAATAGGAACCTAACTAACTAACATAATGGCTTCTGAAGCCAAATTTGAGTTTAGCATACAAAAAAAAAAAAAAAAAAGCATTGAAAGAAACATATATTATGTTTGTGATTAGTCCAGGCAATATGGTAATATTGGTTTTGAGGACCCGATTTGGACATGGCCGTAGGATGATCGAGTGCTATATGTTCATTTCTGGTCCTGTAATAAAAGTGAAGCCAACGCGCCTAATTTATGAATGAGGGAAAATGGCAAGAGAAATGGAAGTGGAAGGCTTAGAAACCAATGTAATGTTATCCCAAAATTCCTAAGCATTTAGTTGTCATCCAAGAGCAATTAAAGCTGTGCTAAATTTTTTCCATAATTCTTTCCTTCTTCATAATTATAATTTAGCAACTATAAATAATAATAAAGGTGACTGCCTATATTTTTGATTGATGCTGTCACTCTTTTTACTATCAGTTGACCCCCATTTTTACCCCTTTGTTCATTACCAAATCCAAATTTGCAAGTAAAAAATAAGTTGCCAATTTTGTAAAATTTATTGTATTCGTTTTGTCTTAATGCCTGCTTTCTTCACCAAATTCCAATTTTACAAGCAATTACAAAAAGAAATTAATTGACAAACTTCACTTTCAGACATAAGGCTTAAAAAAGAAAAAGAAATTCTTCCCAAAATGCATTCAATTCTATGACTATTTTTTTTTTTTTTTTTTGGATGTCGGAAGACAAAATTGACTAGCGCATAATACTTCACGCTCCACAATTGTGGTAATTATTCATTTTTATTCAATGTCTAATTAGAGAAGACTCAATAAATGACACTAATCTCTCCACCTCAATTTCTATTTCTTGTCTGAGAGGAAGCCCAGGAGTTACACTCACCTCCAAACCTCAACCGTTGGATCATCCTCTTAATCCACGGCAATTGATGCATGCAGCTTATTAGCAACTCCTCTATATAAGTAATAAGCTTAGTCATGGTGTTCTTCTCTTCTCTACTTCACAGAAGAAAGAAAGACAGAAAAAAATCTTAAGAACTTTCCCTTCATAAAAAAAGCTATTTTCATTGCTAAAAAGCATCCCTTTCCTCTTCTCATTTAAGTACTCCTTTACACCTCTCTTTTCATGGAAGGAGGAGGGTTAGGAGGAAGTTTCCCTTATGGAAATTACTGCCAGAGAGATCATCACCTTGGCCTTCCCCTTCTTAAACCAAGGCCACCCCTCACTGCCATAGACCGATTCTTGTGTGGTCAAAGGCATTTTTCTCAACTTGAAATTCTTGCCAATTTCAAGAACAAAGCAACCCTTGTTCCAGTGAATTCTGATTTTGTTTCCTCTTCAAGCGGTGGTGCAATCCATGGCCATGCAGGAGGAGGAGGGGTATTTTCATGGCCAATTACTCTACCTCCTTCTCATGACACAAGTAGTTCCGTCAATGGGGTTCTTTTCAACAAAGAAAGTACTCCAAACCTGAGTCCAGAAATGAATCCCAATGTCGGTTTAGAAAAGGAAGAAGATTTACCAAGAGTTCCTAGAGGAACAGGAAGGAGAGGAAAAGGTGACCCATCTGTAGCTTTAATCAAAGGCCAGTGGACTGAAGAGGAAGACAAGTAAAGATCATGGGATTTCCTCTTGGTTTCCTTTGTTTCTATTGTTGATTTTATTTGTTCCTTTTTCATGGACATTTATCTTGTTTGTAACATGCAAAAATTAGTTTGATGTCGAAAGTGTTAGTTAATTTGTTGACCACTTATTCTTTTAATTGTTGTGCAGCACTCTTAGAAAGCTGGTGAAGCATTTTGGAGTGAAGAAATGGGCTCAAATTGCTGAAAAAATGGTAGGGAGGGCCGGTAAACAGTGCCGGGAAAGATGGCATAACCATTTGCGTCCAGATATCAAGGTTTTTTCTACTTGCCATCTTTTGTCACTTAGTTTTTAATTTTTTCTAATTTTAGAGCCATCTTTTGCCACTTAATGGTTAACACTTGATTGTTCATGATATTTGATATAACCATGATCCCTTTTTTTTTTTTCACATGATCTGGTTGTTTATTTTCTATTTTTGGCTCTCCTCCTGCCAAATAAGGTTCAAAAAATTCTCACATGAATCAACGATGGATCTAAAAACTTAGATTCATTGTAGCTTTTGGTGTTGAATCTTTTCCAAAGTTTCCAACTCGAATTTTAATTATGGCAATTTTCCAACTTTCTTTTGCTTCTTTTTTTATGTTATTGGAAATATTATTTTCTCTCAATTTTCTTATGAGTAGATTTATAAATTACAATTTTGATTGATGAAGTTTCTAGAGAAAGTGTAATTATTTACTTATTTTTTTGAACATTCTCCAAATCTTTATCATCTGTCCTTCACATTTGGTATGTACAATAATTTTTCATCAACATTACACCTTAGAGTTTTGCCAGCAAATCATGGTCACATATATGCTTATGGTAAGTTATTAGTGTCCAAGATTTTTGCTTTTTTTAATCTATGGAGATAGCATTATTTGTTTCTAGAGTATTTTTTTTCTAATATATATTGTGCTAGAATAAGTTTTCTACCATCATATTTTGGGTTTTTCTTCATTTTCCAAATCAGCATTTTGACATACTAATTAACATGTGAATGAGGCATATTTTGCTATATTTTGTCATATTCGTCATCCTTCTCATATTCTTTGAGCCCATTTTTCATGTGACAGTAGAAACTCTTTTCAGACAAGGAATCATGATTTGTTATGAAAGTTTTTAACTATGACCCAATAAAAGTTATTGTTAGAAATTTTATTTTTTGCTTTTTGCTTATAATTATTCTACAGTTGTACTAAAAGGATAATGTTTAATATTTGTTGTTTACTTGTTTCTCAATATTAATCATATTTCAGAAGGACGCATGGAGTCAGGAGGAAGAAAAACTGTTGGTGGAAGCTCATATAGAGGTTGGGAACAGATGGGCAGAAATTGGCAAAAGAATTCCAGGAAGGACTGAAAACTCCATAAAGAATCACTGGAATGCCACAAAAAGAAGGCAGAATTCCAAGAAAAAGTTCAAGAAACCTGAAGGAGTACATAATGGAAGAAATCAATCAACCATTCTACAAGAGTATATCAAGAGTACTTGTTTCAACGATGATTCTTTAATCAACATTAGCACAGGCCCTAGCTCCACCACCATGATACCAGTCAACAGTGCAGCTACCCAAATAACCCCATCTAACTCCGTTATATCAGAAGACCCTACATCAGCTCATTTCAATATGCTTTATCCAGAGCTATCTCAATCAGCTTCTGGTGATTCCTCGTCCTATCTAGCTCAACACTCATATGATGATGAGATGAATTTCATGCAAAACTTATTTGGGAGCTATAACCTGAATGTCTCCACATCCTGCAAGAATGATAAAGGAAAGGCTCCTCTAGATATTGGAATTAATCAGAAGGACAAGTGTTCTACTTCTTTCAACTCTTCTGGGTACAACAGCACTAATTCTAACAATCAGGATTTTGGTGGAAATTTAGATTATGGGTTTTTTCCATCTTTTGCTGAGCCAAGCTTGCCGACCAGAACTTATCTAGGTGACCAAGAGAGTAATCAGCCTATCCGTATGTACTCGGACGCTTATCTCTCTCATATTTTGGATGGAGGCAATGTCTTATGTGCTCTTCCTGAGGTCTACCCTAGCAATATGAATATGGAGAAGATGATGATAGATCAAGCCAGTCCTTCAGTTGGAAAAGAGGTGGACTTAATAGAGATGATCTCAAATTCTCAATTTGCTCGAAAAAATGCTACTAATAACTTTGTATTTTAAAATTGGTTTGGTGAAGATTGTGATCATATTTTAGGGTTTCGAAGAACTTTTGAAATTCTACAACTTTTTATTGTTAATATAGAACCAAATTTTGAGCATCTCTAGCTCAATTCTAACTTCGGCTAGGATTGGCATATTCTGATCAATTTGCGCTAGACTTTGTCAAAAAGTTATGTTTAATGGCTATGTTTTAAAGTGCGAATGATTTTCTAATTTTGTTCTTGAATCTTATAATGTTTTGGTCTCTAGATGTTAGTTTTCTGTTTTCAGTTGTATGCACAACCATAATGTTTTTCTTGAATAGGTGTGTCAACCATTGTGGTTCCTCAGTTTCTCTTATTTTTATCGTCCTACATTCTCAAACAGTTAGTGTAGTGTCGGTTTCAAGGTTCTATGCATTTGACGAAAGTTTCGTTTCCTTATAAGAAAGAAAAGTGCAACACTAAAGAATGGCTCCAGCCGTCCATTTATCCTTACATTCTGCAATGTTGTTGCCTATATGGTGATGAAAAGCATCACTAAATACAAAGAAAAAAATGCTTATTGTGCAGTTGTACCTCAACCCTTTTTGTTGTGATGTCAAAATAGATTTTAGAGGACACTTCTTGTGATGGTAGATTAGTACCACTAGCTTTATTGGATAGTGTTGGTTTACAATAAAAATCAACTTCTATTTTTGGGATAAATAAAAATATGAAGCTTTTTAAAATTAATATTAACTATCTTAAATGGTTAATTTAACTACATTATCATCATTATGGTAACAATGATTAACTATTTCTGGCAATTAATAAGATGATGTCATTTCTAACGTCCAAGATTCATTGACATGAAAAAAAATTGATAACTTAATAAATATATTAATCGACTCCCATCTGAAAAAATTAATCAATTCGGTTCACCAGTAATGTTGAAATTCAAAAAATTTTGGTGCACTTGTTTTCATAGCGAGGTTAGATAATATATTTCTATCAACGATATTAAATAATGTTGAAATTCAAAAAATTTGGTGCACTTGTTTTCATAGTGAGAAAGGATAATGTGTCTATTTTTAGGATAAATGAAATTCTGAAAATTTTAAAAAATAAATATAATGGTCTCAAATGATTAATTTTAATAGTAGCTAACAACTTCTCAATAATTAAGTCAATGTCATCTCAAACGTCAAAATTTTGTAGATATGAAAAAAAAATTTATAGCACAATAAATACGTTACTAAAACCATCTAAAAAATTTGGTTGTTTTAGTCAGCCAAAAATTTTGAAATTCAAATAATTTTGGTACACTTATTTTCATAGCAAATAAGAATGATATATTTTTATTCACTATTTTGCAACAAAAAATGTGGTATGTTTTTAGGATAAATAAAATTCTTAAACTTTTACAAATTAATATTAAGAGTCTTTAATGATTAACTTTAACAGTATATTGTTGTTATTACTTTAACAATAATTTAGGACTTGTCGACAAATGGGATGACATCATATCAAACATCATAGATTTGTTGACATGAAAAAAGTATTTGATAGCATAATAAATGCATTAGTTATTTATCTCAAGAAATTAATTGAGCTGGTCCACAAATGAGGTTGAAATTCAAAAAATTTTGGTACACATATTTTCGTTGCAATGAGGAAAAATACATTTCTATCAACATTTTTTTAAAAAAATAAGGTTTTTAAAAAATATAAATAAAATTTTTGAAAATTTTAAAAATTAATAGTAGTGATTAAGCTTTATGGTACATCACAGTCGTTACTTTAATGACAATCAACGACTTCTCGATAGTTTGGATGGTGTTATCCTGAACATCAAAGCTTCGTCAACATAAAAAAATAAAAAAAAAAAATTGATAGCATAATAAATGTGTTAATCCGTGCCATCTCAAAAATTTAATCACTTTGGTTCACCAATGATGTTGTCATTCAAAAAGTTTAGGTACACTTATTTTCATAACAAGAAAGGAAAAATAAATTTCTATCAACTATTTTGCATTTTTTTTAGGATAAATAAAATTCTAAAATATTTGAAATTTGATATTAACGGTCATAAACGATAAAGTCTAACGATATATTGTCGTCATCATTTTAACGATAATTACTGATTTCTCGATTTTGATGATATCATCTTAAAAGTCAATGATTCGTCGACATGGAAAAAGATTTGGTAGTATAATAAATGTGTTAATCGATGACATCTAGAAAAATATTAATCCACTAGGTCCACTAATATTATTAAAGTTCAAAAAGTTTTGGTGAATTTATGTTCATAATTAAGTCCAAGAAATTTTGAAGTTAATTATTCAACCATTTTGCAAAAAAGCAAGATCTATGTTTAGGATAAATAATATTCTGAAACTCTTTTAAATTAATAGTGGCAGTCCTAAACGACTAGGTTTAACGGAATATATAGTCATTATTTGACAATAATCACAAATTTTCAATAATTAGGATGATATCATCTCAAACGTCAAACTTTCACCAACATGAAAAAGATTTGGTAATACACTAAATGTGTTAATCAGCACCATCTTAAAAGATAATCAATTGTATCCACTAATAATATCAATATATTCAAAAAGTTTAGGTGCACTTATTTCAAAATATATAAGGAAGAATAATACATTTCTAATGAAAAAATTTGGAGGTTGACTACTCAACCATTACCTTTCAAACTAATTGCTCAGGCACAAAAATTAAAATTGGCAGAGTTGATGATCCTTGCCCTCTTTTAACTACTCAAGAATCTTGTTTGGGGTCGAGAGAGATGGCAAAAGATCGGTCATTTTGGTCATGAACACCAATACTTTTCTAGTGTGAACACTTTTGAGTTGGTTCTTGGATAAAGTTAGGTGGCCTTTGGACGGTGATGACGAAAGAAAAAGGACAAGTGAGCTAAACTTCCCATGGTTCTCTTACCTTCGATTTGTAGTTTTTTTCTTTTATAATAAGAAGGTTTCCTGAAAATTTTTTTTTTTCATGCAATTTTTGATAGTCTCAATTGTCACGTGGATTTTTTTTGGCCCTTTTTTTGGTTGAAGAAAAACAACCTTTCCTTTTGGCCTCTTTTCTCCTCTCCATGCCATGCATCACGCAATCTTGTCTGCGTAGGTGTTCCTTTTCAGCTTTCCTCCTGTCCTTGGTTTTATATTTCTTGTGTTTTACTTGCTCATGAGTCATGACGGGAAAAAGTTGATTAGTGCTGAGGCAAAATTGCCTGTGCAACCTGTCTATTAAGGCAAGCATTGGGTTGACTAATCACTGTATTCAGACATAATCAAGAGAACAATATTAAACATGAAATCCCATAAGGGTTCTCTTTGTTTGTTAAACAAATAAATAAACTCTTTAGATAATGGGGAAATAGAAATATTGTAATTTTGTTGTCATGCTAATTGTATAAATTATCCATGAACATTAGTGATAATTGAAAAGCACTCTTTTTCTTTTTCTTTTTTCGTATTGGCCTATTTAGTGATTGAATAATATATATTTTTTACTTTTTATATATAATTATTAAACTTTTTCTTACGAGCACAATTTAAAGAATGAGTATCATCCAGTATATGCCGATTCGATATTTAAACATTTCCTTCTAAAATGTTTTTCATACTTGTGGATTATCTTTTGTACTTCTATAATATATCATTTCGAAACCAAAAACATAGAGGGAAAAAGATTTGCTATGATTTACACGTTAATTAAAGTTATTGTCAACAATGAACATTTCAAAGTATTAAATTTTTTGGGCTACATGAAACAATATTATTCTTCCATTCACCAGAGACATGTGCTCATGCAAGCTATTAGTAAATTTGACATAATATCGCGTTTAATGAAGTTTCCAATGGTTGGTTTGACTATTAGAAATCATCAACAGGGTCAAAGAATGATGCTAAAAACAAAAGAGGTTGCTTTATAATTGGCCGTCAGGCCACGGAAAAATAATCAAATAGGACATCACTACGAGAGATGTTTTCCTATATTCAATATCATTTAGTAATAGAGACTTTAATGAAATAAACAAATTATCAATTATCAAAATTAATATTTTCACGTCACAGAATTTGTTGGATGATACACTAATTTTTTAAAAACAACATATTTTTTGCTCGAAAAGAAAAATAAAGCACTAACAAACCAACAAAATATTTTTTTCGCACGTGCCCAATTTCTTAATAGTTCAATTGTTGATAAATACTCATAAATTATTTCCTGAATAATACAGGTTTCGAATTCTTAAGATAGTTTTTCCTTTCTTAAAATGTTTTTTTTCACGTTGGTGGATCATGTCTGTACCTTTAGCATTTAGCATGTTCAATGACATTCTGGAAAATTAGTACCATTACCTTTTTTTGGTGGCTTCAATTGAAGTTTAGTGTTGCTAAACTTTAATTAGTTTATTGATTAATATATTTTTATGGAAGAAGTTGACAAGCGTTTCAAGTAAATGCTCGTGCTGTGCACTAGGAGGTTTTAGTGTCATAAATTAGGTTTTTCTTATTGAATATTTACTTAAAGATGTGTCCTTGAGTTGACTCCATTTATCCGTAGACCTGTTGTACTTCAAGCTCATTTTATGGTACGTCACAGTCCATAAAAGGTCGAAGTTAAATTTTTATTTTTATTTAACTTTTTAGGACAGTAGGCAAAGTATGAGGAGGTTTAATGAACTCCCAAATCTCAATAATATCTTGAGAAATACCGCACAACTAGTCGCTACTCTATTTTAAATTGTTCCACCTGCTTTGATCTCCAAAAGGTTATTTATACAATATTCCAATATAATTATATTGCTTTTATTGTGGGTCTTCCAAAGAATAAAACAAATCAAAGCCCATGTTTTTATTCTATTATTAAGCTTCCTTATATTTGTCAGCCCGAAAATGACCTCTTTTCCAAAATAACCAAATTGAAAAAATAATTTGACGCAACAAGAAGGCATACGAGAAACATATGCCAAATGTAAATGGGATGAATTTACGAAGCGATAGGGAAGAGTAAACGGAAAGTAGAATTACTCGATCAGAGATGCAAAACGAATTACTATATATGTTTAACACCATTTTAAACCTTTGTTTAGAGAATGTGCTGAAGACTAGTAAACTGATGATTACGAGAACAGCTTTCTTTCTAAATTCCGCCCTGGAAAAAAAAATTTTCTAAGTTGCCTAGTGCTTCTAGAGTAATAAATTAGCTTTGCTATATATTGAGGCGTTGCACTTGCTCATCTCTCAGTTATAATTTGATTTTTTTTTTTGGGACAATAACTCCAACTTTTTGTTTGATTATGGGAAACTCTATATACTCTCCCAGGAGTTTTCATCTTCCCTTTGGCCTGTTAAGTATTACGACATCTTTGCCCTGGCAAAAAATATTCCAGCAAATAAACCTGAAAACTGTATCGAGTTAGCCTCACAGTATCAAACAAAATAACAAACGAAAATTTTTAGCAAATAGGATTGGCAGCAAACTGACCAAATAGTATGCTGAAGAAATTGGGAAAATTGACAGGAACCCTGAAAACTATGATTCCAGCGATAGAAATAGGAATCTTGTTTAAGGAACCAACCAGACTGCGATTAAGCAAAAAAAAAAGATGTGGTAAGCTGAAACAATGTCAGATTAAGAGAAGGCAGAAAGCTTAAAACAATATTCGATTTTCTTCTGATTTGTATATCAGGCATACCCCAAGATAATTTCGCATGAGTACCTGTAAGTCGTAGGACTAGTTTGATTTAAAAACCACATAGAGCTGAAGCTGATAGCAAGTCCAAGCAGCCCACTAGCTGTCGCAACAACCCAAAACATTGGCATCCTTATTACATTCCTGCACCAGTTAAAACAGTCATAAACAATAGTAGTATTTTCTCCCCTCCGCCCTCTAGTATAGCACAAAAAGTAACCGCTTATCAAAGAGGTGCAAAATAGCATAATAACACAGCTTGAGGATGAAGGCACATACGCATTAATTACATAATCCCATTCATTGAACACGAGAATCAACAAGACTGCAAATGGTAAAGATAATGAATTGTTTAGTAACACCATTGAAACTTCATTAAGTGATCCAGATTCTGTCAATTGCTTAGCTCTGTCCATAACTCGTCGCAAAGTGAGCTGCAGCATGAAAATACACAAAATTTTAGGTAAATGCACGGGAGAATACTTCAGGTTGTCAATGTTATTTCAGATTTGTCAATTGGTTTCTCTGTCCGAGTTAAAGAAGTATACCGAGTAACTTGCAGTTAAAATGCAGTTCAAAGTTTGCCACGCATAACCCGTGGCATCAAATGAGAGATCTGTTATTCCTCCACTTATGGCAGATGTTATCTGCAATGAAAAAACACAAACTATCAGAGATTTCACTGTGAACCCCAATTTTCTCCCCTCCCTTGCTCACAATATCCCCCACTATTTTAGACCGGGCGAGGCGTGGAAGAGTAAAATTGCAGAGTGATTCAGATAACAGGTTTGAAACACACGAGTAGTAGCAAAAGCAGAAAGGTAACATCGTGGGACAATAAAGTTTTTCATTGAATTGCAGATCAAGCATGTACCAGAACAGCTAAAATTCATGCGAGAGGTCATATATCAAAAGTTTCAATTTTTCTTGTACATTCAGGTCAATGGAGCCTCAACTGCTATACCCAAAACAATCACCTGATTAGTTTTTATACAAGATTTAACAGATTTTGATTTCATAATAGAACTCTTAAAGGAGCAGAAAGAAAATCCTTTTCCAGATTCAGTGGAGCAATTCTTATGGTATACCTCTTCGAAATGAGTTGAAAAAGCACAACAGCATTGTCTAAGACTGCCCTTACTCACAGGTGCTAACTTGTGAAGACTACTGTTCAAAAATAACACCTGTGAAGACTACTGTTCAAAAAGACCTACTGCTACCAAGACATACTTTACTATTGATGAGAATTTGGATACTAGGGACAATGGAATAACTGGACTTGCAGTTAAGTACTCTACTAAGAATGATAACATAAACTACTTGATTCCAAAATCATATCCATAGGCAATTAGTTTAAAAGCATCACACTCATAGGAAAGAATGTAAGTACCATAAGAAACATCGCAGTCCACACTTTGTGATTCTGACGCTTCCGGAAAAGATAAAATTCTCCAATTGCTGTTAAAATATTTGTCACATTCTTCAGAATTGTCACCATTGCAATATTTATGTATTTCAGACTGAAAAGGTTCACAAGAAATATCCTTGGCTCAATGATATGAAAAAAAATCTCCCTAAGAAAATTTTCCAAACTAGAATGCACAAGTGATGCTTTTCCAGCTGTGACAGCCATTACAGCACAATAGAACGTACCTGTACATGCCTGATACAAGCATTCCAATGAATATTAAGTTAACAGGAATCCAGACTTTAATAAGTTTCCAATTTAGCTTTTCCACTGAAACAGCTCCACAGAGACCCAAAACAACAACAACAAGAGAACTGATAAAATTCTGCATAAAGTAACACAAACGATTAAGCTACATCAACGTTCACTGATTCCTTAAATGAATTCCACCCAAAAAGATATATAATTCATGCAAAGGAAAAGCGGAATTGTGCTCTAATAAGAGAACAATAGAAGAATCAAAGTTTAGCAATAATTAGTAGATCATTAAGGAAAATGGTGCAGACATATAGCACAACCTTTTTTACTAATAGAAAAGAAACACAGAACTACTAATTCGAGATACCTGGTAAAACATAAGTGAAATTCCAGCACTGAAAGCATAGCTTGATAGGACAATTTTGTTCAGTAAGATCATGCTGCAAGAAGAAAGGCAATAAGCAGTCCCTGCTACTAGAGGTCCAGATTTTCTTCCAAATCCATGCACCTGTTTCTCATTTCCATTGAAGAGAAGGTTAGCAATTTCACCTAACGCTGCACGGTTCCCTTTGAAAAACCTGCAATGTGAGAAAGGATTTATGCATTAATCGATCAATTATTTGTTCTCAAAGTCATGGTTTCAGGGCAGGGCACCATTGACATTCCAAATGGTTAAATAAAACCCCCTTTTGGCAACTTTAGTTTGACACTCAACAAAGCCACCTATGGAGATTTAGTTAACAGATGACACGAGCACTAAAACCTAGTTTCTGATTCCTTAATAACTGAGGATTGATCTTGTTGATGATGTATAACAAATGAAAAGAATCAAAAGCAACACAAGCATTTAGCCCAAAAGCTGGAAGAGTGGATAATTATGCTTATAGGTGCATGTCATTTCCTGATCATGATACTTGAAGAAGTAGAGATCGAAAAAGCATATACCATTCCAGTCTATAAACACAGAAACATGAGTGGATAATTATGCTTATAGGTGCATGTCATTTCCTGATCATGATACTTGAAGAAGAAGAGATCGAAAAAGCATATACCATTCCAGTGTATAAACACAGAAACATTATTTAATATACATTATATTTAATTATTGTGAATTTGGCCAGAGGGCCCAATAGCTGAATATGAATATCATATTTTAAGCCTGCAACCCAAGCTTTAAAAGCCCAAAAATCTTTTCTTTTTTTGAATAAGAGGGAGCGAGCCTACGCAGCTTTTTATTTTCCCGCAAGAGTTGAAAGTGAAAGACTGAAAGTAATCATGAATTACAACAAAAACAGTTTTCTTGCAAATTTTTCCAATATCTTTAGGCAGTGTTAAACCTAAACTTTCTGGAGATCAAACCACAAGTCGAGTACGAACCAAACTATGCCACAAGCCTATAAGCGTCGAGAACCAAGCTCGAGAGGGTAACGAAAAATGAGATTATCCACAGCTGGTCTGGTTCTATTCTTACATAAGTTCTACTCCAGTGCCACAAAATATATACCATCTCTGTCTCATAAAATTTGTCGTCGTTGAAAGAGCAGGCAATTTATGTATAATACTACTATTAGTAGGAAATTTTTTTCTTATATCCTTAGTAGATGGCAAGCTTTTAATTTGATGTATTGATAATTGTAAAAAATAAGCATTGAATCACATGAAGTGTAAAGATAAAATTTTATTAAAAAAAAAAAGAAGAGTTGATATTTTTAATAATGACAATTAATTTAGAACAAGAAAAGATGACAAATATGATAAATTTTATAGGACTTTTTTGTTTTCTTTTTGGGAGGGGGGAGGGGGGAGGGGGGCAGGAACTAAAATTGGACATTATTATGGTTGAGTTGTGGCCAATAGCCTCTTGGGCTCTTGGTATCACTATCTACATTTACCAAGACATGGCATAAATGTCTTGGTGGGATGAATCCTTGACCTCCCATCTTGCTATTTAATTGTGATTTTTTTCAATCGAAATATTCGGTGGACTCTCGCTTTCCTTAGACTCTATTAGAGTAGATTATACAAATATTATCATCGCGATAAAAAATAAATAAAATTGAGTTGTTACCTTCCATGTCCTCAGTCGTTCCATTCGAAAGATTGATACACAGTTATCAAATGCCGTGCGTCGCCCACAAAAGCCGAATAGCAACAGCTCAATCATAATAACGTCCAATTTTCATCCCGTCGAAATACAGTTGGATTTATATGGACATGAATGGATCTGGTCCGCTAACTAAAAATTCATTGTTGTGGGAACAATGGAATTTTCAACATGGCCCGGTTGAAAATGACCCGCAATTGAATGTTGAAAACGATATGGATGCTCGAGAGCCTCAGATATTTTACATGTCAAATTACCATAGTGTCCTTGTCTTGGCAGAATATTAATTTCCAACCAGAAAAATAATTTGGAATATTTAAATGTTATTTGCATTGTGCACGTTTTTTTTGTTTCCAACCAAATAAACAATTTCCAAATGTTTATATCAAATACGAAATCTCAAAATCAGATGGACATAAGGGAACACTAAAGGGGCGTTTGGTAAAAGGGTATCGGAATGAAGGAATGGAATAAACTCCATAATTGGTGTTTGGTTCACTGGTATGAGAATTGAAATTTTGGAATGATTTCTAAAAATTTGGCATCCCTCCATTCCTTAGTAAAAGGGTGGGTTTTGTCCAAAACCCAAGTGTGATTCCAAAATCTTATAATTACATAATATTTAGTATAATTAATATTAATATTTATATTATAATATATACATATATATAATATATTATAATTATAAATTTTATAATAATTATATATTTTATTATAATATTAGTATATTATATAAATATATATATATTATAATTATTTAGTTAAATATAATTATATTTATATAATGTATATTATAAATTTCTTAATATTATATATAATATATATGTATATTTATAAATGTATATTATATGTGCATATAATTATAATAAATACATGTATATGATATTAATAAATTATATAATTATAATTATAATTATATTTATTATTTTAAATATAATAATATATAATAATATATCTAATTAATATGCATTATATTTATATAAAATATTAGTACAATTAATATTAATATATTATATAATTATAATTATATATTTATATTATAACATTCGTATAATTATAATTAATTATATAAATAATATTTAATTTAATTAGTTACAAAATTATAATAATGATATTATTATATTATATAATTATTTAGTTAAATATAATTATACTTATATAATATATATATATATATTATTAATATTATATAATAATATATTATAATATATATGTATATTTATAAATGTATATTATAGTGCATATAATTATAATATATACATGTATGTAATATTAATAAGTTATATAATAATTATTATTATTATTATTTTAAATATAATAATATATAATAACTATATTTAATATGTAATATATATTATATTTATATAAAATATTTATATAATTAATATTTGTATATATTATATAATAATAATTATATATTTATATTATAACATTTGTATATTTATATTTAATTATATATATAATATTTAATTTAATTAGTTACAAACTTATAATAACAATATTATTAGTTATATGTATTATATAATGTATATTAATTTATGTAATATAATTAATATTATCAATTATACTAATAATTATACATGTTTACTAATAGAAATTTTTATCCAGTTAGACTAAATTTACTAATACATTTATACTAATATATTTAATTAGTGAAAATTTCTTATATCCCATTTACAAAGAGCCAATAACTATCATTTACGATGTGATTTATAATATATTTATTATATTCTATTTCGAAAGAGTCGACAAACCAAACATCAATTATAATAATGATACACATTCCAAGTACTTGAACCAAACAAATGTATTGGAATGAATGACTTCATTCCAAACCCAAGATATCCGATTCCGAATCTGAATCCGATTCCAATGTGCGAACCAAACGCCACCTAATAATGCAAGAGAGAAACAGTTGCTTGATCATTTATTTGGTTCGGGAGTGAGTTAAATTGAATAAAACAAAAATCGATCATTATTTGTATGAGAACTACAGTTTAATATTCAGATAACTACGGCTCCATTTGGATTAGCTGTTTTGGGGTGTTTTTGCAAAAATGTTACTGTAGTAATGTATATGAAAGTTTTTTACTATAAAATTTTTTAAAAATATTTGACATATTGTATGAATGAGATTTTTTTGAGTTATTGTATATTATTGTAACATTGTATTTGAATTTTTTTTTTTTGGAAAAATGACTAATCCAAACGGAAGTTCAAATATCACTAGTGTACGATTGTACATACACGGCACGCGGTGTGGGTGTTAGCAGCTTGTTCCCCCCGTTATACAGAGAATTTCATGTTATTGTTGTTAAGAGATGAAGAGAACCATGTTAAAGCGTACGTCTCCAACTATTGTATATGATCGTTTTATTGTATTTTCCTCTAAGAATAGGTCAACTTAAAGCAATAAGGTAATTTAAAAAAAAATGTATGGTAATTTGCATATAGTAGGAAACAAAAGAGTTAGATGTGAAATGGTTGTGTTCAGAAAAAATTTATATGGCGGATGGGAAAGGAAAATTTTTGTGATTTTTAAAATGGATAAAATTGACATTTCACCCTAATTAACTAATAAAAATATAGAGGAATATATGTAATTTTATTATTACAAATATATAAATTCAAACTAGTTTAATGAGTTAACTATCAGACTATCTATAAACTCGACTCGATTAATCCCGCTCACCAAGTCAATTCACGCTTTATATTGATCGAATTTGAATTGAGATTTAACCAAACCTGCTCACAAGTTACCTGTCGACATTTTCTCATATGCTGCCTATCATCCAAGTCTAGACGATTCTTCAATCTCTCGATTACCGATTATCAATCTAGCTTTTCATGGAGAATAGTTCTTGTAATGCATT